TCCTCTCCCAACCACGTAATCTAGTGCATTCGGGCGAGCAGCGTATCGATTGTGGATTTTCTAGCAGCTCGAGCCCTTTATGCAGTAGAACGAGCTTGCTCATAAGCAGCCGTACACGTATTTTGTCGGTAATTTTGGCGTTCTTTCGCAATAATTGCCCGCACTTCGTTTGACGGGTTTCTGACTCGTATGGGTTTCTTATCGAGATATATGTCTTAAAGACCGTTTGTTCTTTCGTCTCTTTTTATTAGTCGCTTTTGAAGCCACCGTACTGAAGTTTACTTCCTTTAAAGGCGAACCTTTAAAAATGCTGTTAGTCTACGTTGAGTTGGTGAAATTAAGCTGATCTTCCGTCTACTCGCTGTTTCATTGGAGAGCTTCTTGCCCGGCAGTATGTCTCTGAAGCAAATTGTTGGGAACAGTAAGTTTTCCTTATTTATTGTTCGGGCGGAGATGCTCAGTTTCATCCTTTCACTTTTTCTTTTCATACTACCTCATAAACGTATGTTTTCATCTTTTCCTCTATGCTTTTACTCGAGTTGCTCACATTTTCACCTGAACGCAATAGAGGTGACCATTATGGAAACTTCGGCTGCTGGCGTATTACTGCCGTTCAGTCCTCCAATCGGGTATTTTTTCCCCGACAGGAAGCTGCGGTCACCGCAATTGCGACTATCGATCAGTTTGCACTTTGAAATTTTGGTATGAAATGTAGTTTAGTGAGCCTTGTAGGGATACTGGGCTACTTTTGCCCATACACAGCATTCTCGGGGTAACTTCTAGGGATAATTATAATGTCAAGGTGAAGCTCAATATAGGTGCCATTTCGCAGCGTTCGGGATTTCCTACATCTCGGAGAGCTAGAATAACCTGCAATTTCTGAAAAGTGAAGTTAGCGCCGGGCTAGGTGAACTACTTATTATTGGAGAAAGCTGGAGTGGCAAGTGACTCGCTCATCCTTGAGCCCTCCTCTTTGAAAATGGCTGGCTTTTCTAGCACTGACGGCGACAATGCAGACTGGAACCCGCAACCTGCTTGTTTGGTTCTAATTCATCTGAAAGTGTTCATTTGAAAGCACATAAGGAGTTAAGTGATCGTGGGCGTAAGTCAGCCAAAGGCAATTTTGAGTACTAACCGTGCAAGACTGAGAAAGGAGGTGAGGACAGGTACAGGTAGAATGATTCTTCTTCGAACTGTTTATACGAGAAGTCCTTGTTTTCGTATTCCTTATGTAGTCTTGTTCGCTGCGGATGAAGGGAGTGTCAGACAGGATGGCTTTGGCGCTGTGCCAAATTTTTTCACCGGTTGTTGAATTGGAGCAAGCGACGAGACTGCTACTCATTTCCGCTTAGTATGCAGTCGTTTTTCCGCAGCCAAATGTGTTGTCGCTTACTCGCTTTAGCCAACAGGTATGAGGGGATCTTGACTCCCGCTGGACACCCCTTAATCCGCAGCGAACCAGACTATACTTTCTTAAATATTACGTAGATTAGATTTTCCTGGGGAAATTGCTGGCTGTTCTAGCGCTGACATAGCTTGAGCTCGTTTGGAAATTTAATCATGTCATTTGGTCGTTGCAGTCGTTTCTCCTTTGTCCAATTAGTGTAAGCTGCTGCGGAAAAAGCGCTCTTCTGTCTTATAGGGGCATTATTTCTTATTTTGACATTATTTCTAAAATTCTGTTGGATAATCCATCAGAGAACTTCTGGATTGAGGCATGGCACGCTGTCGTTAGGATAGGGTGGCGTTGTACCTGGACAAGTTCGTTGCACTGCATCTGCGCACACTTGGATTCCTATAGCCTCGTTCGCTACGGATCCGCTTCGAACCTATCCCGCCTGACACGCCCCTTCATTCGCAGCAAACAAGACTGTATGCGTTCTGGACATCGCTCGGTTTGAGACTTTGAGTCGCGCTCAATTTGAAGGCAGCCTTCCTTTGAACCTATTTGATAGAGAGCTCAGGTACGTGCTCCTTAAGATAGTTCGAACAAACGATCCTCTCGCATCTCCTGGATGCGCATAAAGTATTGCTGCTGGGCATGGTAACAGGGTACATCATGCTGGCTAAACCCATAGGGGGTCGTACTTGGCCGCTGGGGAGGGGGGGTCGTAATCTCAAGGGTCACTCAGAGCCGGGCAATGCTTCGACATTTCAGTTGATAGTGGGAGTGGAGCTATGGAAGTCAAGATGTTTAAAAAAATGAAATTTATGAGTGTATTCTTTACAGATTTACCTGCTCCGTTCAACAGCCCACCTTTCACAAATCCCAGGAAAGGGGATCGTACTTGGCCGCGGGAGACATGGGGAGGATCGCAAAAGTAGGCTCGCTAGGCATCAGCCAGTACAAAAGTGTCATTGCCAAGTTTTTGGATGGATCGGAAGCTGGGGCAAAGGCCCGGATGTAAGGAGGATATGACAAAATAGTAAAAATTGTTTAGAATATAGGCAAGAATAAGCAAGCTAAATTAAATAATGATAGTTAATTAGCATGGATCGTAACTACGTAGATGACTAAATAATACGTCTCAAACAGATTCGTGCGTATTGTCCTTTCCAAACCCTAAACAAACATCTGCTTGCATGGATAAAAGCACCTGAAATCAGAATTTACACACCTTTCCACCACCTCTGCGTAGGAGCGTAATGCACGGCGCACACTCGGACCAAATCGATCAGTGATAGCGAGCTCCTCTCTCACTCATTGAAAAGGAATATATGTGTTTAAGGCACACTGAAGTTTCTAAAGGTGTATCCTCACAATGCCACAGAAGGAGTCGATTTTTCGCTATGGGTCAGAGGGTAGCGCGTCTGTGACCCATCCCAAATATCTCCTGAAAAACGCAACAGTTGGAACATCTCCTGAAAAACGCAACAGTTGGAACATTCCCGTTGCATGCTGCTAACCATTCATCAAAAGCTGCGCCCCTCAAAGAGGTATAGCTCCCCGAAAGGACCCAAGGACGTTGGCAGGCCCAACAACCGCGCTCCAGTGACGTTTTTCCAATTAAAGGGGTCGCAACCTTGTGATCGATAATAGCCAAGTATAGAACGAAGCGATAAACTGCCGCCTTGTTATCCTTTTTTTTCATTTGGCTCGCATTTTTTTGTATTTTTCATGTTTCGCTTTGTTGTGTCGTGCATGTTTTCATTATTTCCCCGTCACCATTCATTGAATGCACATCTGGGCCTGACACGCTCACCTTGGGCTATTTTTTTTCACGGGCCCAGTTCAGCTTTATCAAACGATCAGCGCATTCAGCGAGATGTGTTGCTTGTTAGGCAAGTTGGCATGTCATAAAGGTTTTCGAGTTTTATTTTGAATCCTAAGACTGAATTGTGGGTAATGCGAGGCTGTTGTTCAGCCTCATATTGCATGAGGCTGAAACAGCCTATTATTGCCTTGGATTTTAGAGCAGAGTCCGCCTTTCGAAAATCCAGATTCCATTTCAGGAAGCCATTTGGTGTGAACATGCATCTGGTTGTCAGTTAGAGCAGGAGGGGAGGTCACAACGAGACCCTCTTGAGGGGGGGGGGGGGTACGTACTCACACCGCCCTTTCCCACATCCCCATGCTGTACCCTGATGGTACACTCCTCAGGCCGTTTCCATGCTCCACCAAAATGAAGAATCTGTGAGTGCTGGGAGTGAAGTGATTAGAAGAGAATAGATTGCTGCTACTGATTGATTGTTGACTACTTCCAGAGGCATAATGCCACGAATTCAGTTTGCATGGTCCCTCGATTCGTATACACTGCTGATAAAGTCGCATTAGTGGGGGGGATGTAAGGGGCGGAGCTGCCTTGATCTACCAATGGTGATCGGTTTAGTGATCGATTTAGGAAGAAAGCAACCAGTGATGGGCCCATTCCATCAGAAGTAATGCCAGGCGTTTTCTTCTGTCCGTGAAATTCCCTGCTGGCGAGTGAATATTTTCCATCATAATTGTTTGCAATGTCTCTACTACTTTGTCTGTAAATGTGTCGTTTGAGCGAGCTGTATAATATATTTTCGACGTGGTTCTCCTTCATTTTTCAAGGTTTTCAGGTGTGTGCTACTGAAGCCTTAGTGAAAACCTTGTAAGGGATTCAGTGAAAGAACTTTTACAACTGCGCCACCCTATTTTCGATGGAGAGCGGGTTGTTTTGATGACGGAAGAGATAGAAAGTCCTTAGTTTTGTACTTTAGAGTTGCTGAATGAAGTCATTCGTCCGCTCAAGAAGCCAGAAGGGAAAGGATGGAATGCTCTTGTCGTGGACCGATTGGCAATGCGTATGCTTTCTGCCTGCTGCAAGATGCACAACATTATGGAAGGTATGTAAAGGGTATTGACTTTATTTATTTATTGGTTTACAAGCCCACGGCGTACACCACGATAGCGAAAACCTAACTGCTAGCAAAACAACAAAAGAATCCGAGCGCGGAAGAAACAACCAGACCACTAGGAAACAAACAAACTGGATGAAGCTAATTGAATAAAAGCCGAGCCGTGAAACAACTAAGGCCGCGTTCACACATGACGAGTTTGAAGAAATGAGTGCAGGTAGAAGGAAGTATGCGCATCGACTTGAAGGACTGCGGCATTGGGCGGAATCTCCGGAAAAGCCGAAATTCCACAGAATTGGCATTTCTCCCGATGGCGGGGCTAAGCGATTAATGTATCGAGTCTTTCCGCCATTTCTGCATTCCTCCAATTCCGTTTTCTGAAGTCGATGCATATATTTTCTTCTATCTTTCTACATCTTCTTTGTTGTGAACTCTACAAATTTTCTATGTATGAATGCGGCTTAAGGGAAATGAAGATACACAAAACAGTTTTTTGATGCGAGGTTATCTCCCAGTATTGTTATGGAGAATCAGGGTGAGGGGGTGGGGGAACATTCAGCGGACTCCTTGGGCAAAAGTGGGACCAGCGTAATGCGAAACCCCCTTCTTAAACTACAGAACAGCTCACCTCTCCGGCACGGAGTTCCTTTTATCATGAAGTTCTCATCTCCATTGCTGCCGTCTCAGTTTTGCGCAGTAAGTCCTTTCTTCCTGTATCAGCCAACGCTCAAAAATCCCTATATCATTTTGCTCTTGAAGTGAGTTATGAGTCACATAAAGTACGCGTTTTCGTAGGATTATGCCATTCATTGATTGTAGTTACTAGAATTGATTCACTGTTTTCTAGATGGTATAACAATCGTTGAGGACCTAGCCAAGAGAAGAGAGCCACTTCCTAGCCTGGAAGCCATCTACCTCATTGCCCCAACCAAAGAATCGGTAAGTCATGTCCTTTGGTTAATTAGTGTTTCGCGTGACAAGTAGTGCTCATTTTGTTGTCGAGAAGCATTGAGTTCTCGTTTTCATTTTGGCTAGATATGAATAATCACCGTTTCTGCAGCGAGTGATGATTCTCAAAAATGCTCAGTAGAAATATTTAATGTTCAGGTAAAAAGTTAATGTTTCAGTACATCAATTTGAAGCAATATGTTAATGTTACGTTGTTTCTATGCCATTGGACGCGGAC